ATATTCTATCTACGTATCTAGTTTTTTTGTGATATAATTTATTTTGAATATGACTAATCTATGGATTATGTTATGTCTAAATTGGCTACGATTATTTTCACTAAAAAATAATAGAACAATCTACAGGTCTCTTACCTTAAGTGTAAAAACATGGAGGAACCATAAGACCCAAATGGTCAAGAGAAAGCATAGCCAAGTGACCAAACGAAAACCACATGCCAGACACAAAAGGTCGTAAAAGTTCATCGGTGACCAAGTAGGCCGCCCAACCGGCAGCAAGGGTGTTTGTGGCACATGTCAGGTGGAGGATCATAACAGGAAAGGGAGAAGGGAATTGCGTGAAAGAAGAATGTGGAAAGTGCGTGGAAGAAGTGGGGCAGAACGAGTGCAGAGAGGGAACGTCCAACTGGTTCCACCGTTATTGGGAATGTGGTTGATTGCGGCAAGTTGAAACATGCGCGAACCACCTGGTAGTTGCGCTAGCTGATGGTCGGTGTTGTAATTGTGCATGTCCCACTTACGAGACCTAGATAAGCGCATCTTGCGGCAGATGAGGCGGAAAGTGTTAAAGTCCAAATTGCGGGCGGAATTATTGGGCAAAATGGTCCTTCGAGCCGGATTAAGAAAATGGTCCTTCGAGCCGGATTAAGAAAATGGTCCTTCGGGCCGGATTGTGCAAAACTGCCATTTACGGAGCTTAATGTTTTGGGGTCGGATTGAACAAATTATTCACGGGTAGGAGATTAAAATTGGTGCTGTGAGGTATAAATAGACTAGCTATGTTAGGATGATAGTAACTCTTGAGCATGAGAACATTTTGATGATTGTTAGTAAGCTTAATAATATTTTTTAGTTCAACTTTCTTAAAAAACATATTGTGATCATTATAATTTTGTTTGCTTGTATTCAACACAGACCTTTTTCAAAATTTGCATACCTTTCGTATAAATGGAGTTATGAGTAAGTAAAATTATGTACGTGTTATGTGTTGACATTGAGTGGTGTTGATTATATACGCCGATGACGGTGAAATTCCATTTAGGAAAGCCTACTGGTGTGATAGCTTTTAAAGCAATCGATTCTTCTAATATAAGCTCACGTTTTCGTAAACAGTTGATTCATTCATTTTACTAAGGCATACTTTTACGTTTCCTTAGCCTTCCTGAACTGCGTCTATAAACGATATTTGCTGTTTTCACAATCACGTTTATAATGAAGGGGCCAAAGGTATTGTGTATCTCGCGCATAATGTGTAGCCAAGTAAGCAAAACGCCATGCATAACCAGCTTTCCCCCATTAAGAGGGGGAATACGTAGTTGTAAACAGTTTTATCACATCGTTATCCGAGATGTTTGCTCTGCATGTTGATTCGCAGTTTGCATTCCTGGCGAAATTGCGCTTCTCTCGGGTTGCATTCAATTACCTCACTCTCTAACATAGTTTAACAATTTCTTCGCTAATGTTAAATTTATGTTTAGGAATTGAACATTAATGTATCGAAGTAAGGCTTACAATGCTATAACTTAAGAAGAAATTATTAGTACGGATTATTGTATTTCCTGCAGAACCTTTTCCCACATTATCTGCTAGGTGCTTTATAACGCCAGTGGTAACTAGAGAGTAATACATATTTTGGGTATGAATTTACAATTTACAGTACTTCTATAATTGCAGTCATCACTGGTCTGCTTACATCATCAGTCATTGAGTTTACTTCGTTTGAACTACACCCCTTTTCAGTTAACCCCCTCAATTGCAGTTAAAATGCAGGTGTTCCTTCCTGTTCCAACAATGTTACATTACATTTGTTGGTCAAACGCCATTAAACTTCCATAAGTGTATAAGGAAATGGGGTTCAAAACGGATATCAGAATAACGCCAGCCTATATTACGCTATTACTCTTATAGGCCTTAGCAATAAACAAATTAAATTTAACCAATAAATACAACATTGCAATACTATGTTATGATTAGAACGAAATATCTAACCAAATAAAATATCAGGTGAGTTATTTTCACAGTGTAAGTTTAGTTATTTCCTATGTCTCCGTGAAACACAATTTTCGTCAGTAAAATTACGTTTCGAAACGACTCGTAACATACAGTATGTACATACAGTACCTATTAAAAGTATGTATCTACAACAAAACTAAACTGACATTTCATTTTACAAATGTAAACATGTGTCTCATGTAAACAAGCGATACATTAAACCAAAATCTTAAGAAAAACGCTTATCTCAAAGCTATTAGGTATAGTAAAATTCAATTCCCGTGTCTTCCTTAGTACTTTAAGTACGTAATTCCTCACATCTTTCAGAGAATCCTTGGACCGGGACGTTACCTCTTTACACGTGAAGATATTCTAACACTAATATCATTTTGCTTGTGACGCGCTAATCCAAACATCCTTTATTTATATTTCTCAACTGTCCAGCCTCCATAGTGTATTTGGTACGTAATTCTTGTCAACTTTCCGTCACTACTGTGACTCAACCATCGAACATTTAAAGATAAGAGAATGATTTAAGTGTTTGACTCTCCCACCATTCCGACTGTTCAATCAGTCTCATTAAAGTTATCTTTCCTCTCCGTATCAGTGATAGGACAGACGAAGAAGCTCCAGTTAAGTGTTTGAAGTGAATCGTATGATTTAAGCCAGTGTAATGGACTCTTGGTTCAAATTTACATTATGTGTTTCAGTTTTTATATGTTTTATTGCATTGTTCGTGGATTATTCGTTGAAAAGACGTTCGTGAGAAAATTCTGAACTGATTGTGTATGTGTATTCTCTAGGTTTTTATTTTCTCAGAACGTAAACATTGGAAAATCATGTATATGTGAATAGGTGAATACTTTTGTTATTCTGTGACTTAAGTTTTTATGTCAATTTAATTTTACTGTTCAATGTACATTTTATGTTGTTTGTTGTTGTTCCGGATCGGTGTGACAATCAATAAAATGTTAAATTACCTGTGTCCGCCGGTCTATAGTAGGACACAACAGAATTGACCGGCGGACACAGGTAATTTAATTTTTATTGATTGTTCGATGTAGTTTAAGCCCATTAGTTGGGCAGTTAAAAGGACTGATTATAATCTCACATTTGAGACTTTTGATTTGACAAAACCAACCTTATTTTTTGTTCTAACCTAATTTCAAAATATTTATTCTTCGTGTACCGGTTTATGGTAATTTATGAGTTGTTCAGTTCTGACAGATATTTGTACATGTTTTTTCTTTATATCTTTATGAAAGCTATTATTTTGTTACTACTTGGTGTACTACCGAAAAACTTTTATATCTCACCGAAAAACATTCGTACTATACAATTAGTGAGCTCTTTCTAGTTCGTAGTGCAGTCTTTTACTTGCTTCTACAGATTTTCTTACTTCTTTTTTTATGATACCGTTACAGTCCTTCAACTGCTTCATAAGACTTTTTTGCTTTATATATTTTATTAACTGCCCAGTCCATCACTTGTATATCTGATAATTTTAGCACTTAATATTTTCCGCTTCTATACAGCCCTTTGATTGTTTCTGTAAAATTTCTAGCCACACATATGAACTTCTTTAAACCATTAAAATATCCATACTGACGATAAGTAGAAGTAGAGTAGAAGTAAACGAACGTTATTCCATCCCCACTTCTATAGCGATGAAAACTCGGCCCGGTAGTAGAACCTTGCGGGACACCAACTTTCTAGGAGTTTACGTTTCAGTGCTAGCTACCATCTGAGGATCGTAGAAATCTCAGACTAGACCAGACTTCTAGGCATCTTGTGAATGGTCGTGCTCAATGGCCAGCTGACCATTTGCCCCATTCATGGACCGTTCACTCACACATACGCAAGTAATGGACTGTTTCCTGTCACACCTTGCTAGGTCTCTGTACGATGTTGTCTTGTCCATCAGTCAGGCTGTTCTAGGTAGGCAGACCTGTACCCGTCCAGAGTGGGCTGTCTTTATGTGGAATTGTCATTGACTTGAATCAACATCCAAGTTGTTGTTGGCAACGTACAGGATGAAAGATTTGAATGGTTCAAGTTGTCGTTAAAAAACGTTATGTCATACTTGAAAGAATTGCCTGTGATAACTAAGATGTCACGTTATTCGATGAGTTTTTTTTTTTTTCAGATAATCCCACAAATATTTGAATAGAAACGGTAATGGATCATAAAAATAAACAAATGACGTCACAGGCCCGAAAGTGAACATGTTTATATTAATATTTATATATATATATATTAATAATTTATATTAATATAAATGGAACTGACAAAAACGTTCAAACCAGTTGTTACAGCTATTATAATATAGACGTTCGTATCAGTGACGTCATTAGTTTATGATTAGGATCCTTGCCGTTTCTGTTCTAATATACGTGCATATTCCTATTAGGCGATCTGAGCAAATTGGATCGGCAATTATTTTATTCAGACCAGATGTAGACCAAACAAACCTCTATATTACACTATATTCTGCTTGTGTCAATAAGATCTACTTATAAATTGTCTTTCCAAAAGTCATCACTGTTATGATCTAACAAAAACATAGCTATCGGCAGTTTATTTTTAGACAAGATACAACCATCTTATCAAACCGCTTCTAGAGTACATCCCGTTCTGCTTGTGGTCAAGGGCTCGATTTCAAAAATGACGTCGTGAAGGAAATCGCTCGTGGTTATCCACCAAACTTACAGTGTTACATTTTGATACATTTTGATGGTTTGAGTGCAGCTGAAATAGGAATATGATGAGTGAAACCTGGGTCTCAAAAAACCTAAGATGAAACCCTGCAGCATAACATAGTTAACATGTTGTATGTATGCTGTTAACTTGGGATTGAACTATGACCTCAACTATATACCTGGAATATACGTCCCTTACGTACTAACTTCTTTCCAAGTAGATCTTTCAAATTCCCTTAAGAACCTGACAAATCCACTAAAATCTCTTGAGTTTTGCCACTTAGATTAATCCGAACTTAATTGTTGCAGTGATGTGAGATCCGAGCTTGGGTCATGGGAGCCAACATGGGCAAGAACTCCTCCTTCCTGGACTCTCTGCCCTCGACCCAGGCTACTCTCCACGTGGTCATGTTGGGACTGGACAGCGCTGGCAAGACCACCGCACTCTACCGGCTCAAGTTCGACCAGTACCTCAACACAGTGCCCACCATAGGCTTCAACTGCGAGAAGGTATGAAAGTTGATCGTTTTCTAAAATGTACTCCTTTTGGATCAGTTCAATCAGCTGTTCTGTAACTTAAAACGTTCCTTGAGCGAAGACCAATGAAATCTTGACATGATTAAGTTAGTATTGGTCGGGTTTTTTCCATGCCTATGTGAAATGTTCCACCCTATAGTCTGTGAGGTGGAACCTGATTTCTTCCCCTCCTCCTAGCTTTGACTGGCCCGGGCCTTAAACCATTGGTCAATCCCCAGAAAGACCAGGTCAGAATACAGGTTCCATCATACAGACTATAGTATATTTGAACAGCGTTACGTTAGCTAGGAACACCATTCGCACATTGACATAAACACCTTAAAATATTCTATGGATTTAAAGATTTTACGTACACCTCTTAACGATAATATGTTTCACGTTTATCCTAGTGATTTCCGATTTGGTCTGGGTGAGAGGTTGCTTAGAGAAACAATTTATAAAAATTAGGATTTAGAAGTGAGAAGATGTTTAAAAACAGCAGAGAAGCGTACAACTAACTCATACTAGAAGTAAAGAGGTAAATCTTAGGATTCAGCTAAAAGTAACACAATTCTAAAAAAAAATAGCTTAAGCCTAACAAAACTATTACATTGCAAATCTATAACAACAGTGGATCGTATGCGTTAAGAGTTTGAGTTCCATACAATGTGTGGGCGATATTGCACAGTGGATATTCAGATTCCAAGTCATTGTTTGTGTAGTAACCAGGCTGAAAGTTTAACTTGACCCCTTTCATATTCGTTGGATTGAATTAGTGCAACCTATTCAATAAACTGTGATTGTTCATCCCTGTTCATCCCATCAATTGTGTAAAATTGGACTTACTAATTCTGCACAACAACGAAAAAACTTAAATCCCATGGAAATTCGAAACTCTCTGTTTTTAAATTATTTTTGGGATACCTAATTGATTTCCACGACACTGACTATTGCAAAACTCTAAATAAATCATTGGTGACCTCATCTAAGTTTTTTCTTGCCCTTTGACAACCTTCCTTAGAGTACTTTCATCATTCTCACCAAAATTATTTTCCAGGTCAAAGGAACTCTGGGAAGAGCGAAAGGCATCAACTTCCTCGTCTGGGACGTCGGAGGGCAAGAGAAACTACGGCCGCTCTGGAAGTCGTACACCAGATGCACCGACGGTATTGTGTTTGTGCTGGACTCTGTTGACGTGGAGAGAATGGAAGAGGCCAAGATGGAACTAGTGAGGACCGCTAGGTCTCCGGAAAACACGGGAGTTCCTATCCTGATCCTGGCGAACAAGCAGGACCTTCCGGGAGCCAGGGAACCCAAGGAGCTCGAGAAACTTCTAGGACTCCACGAACTGGGCGGGTGTACCCACTCGTGGCATATCCAACCTGCCTGTGCCATCACGGGGGATGGTCTTCACGAAGGGATGGAGGCCTTGTACGAGATGATTCTGAAGAGGAGGAAACTCGCGAAACAGTGCAAGAAAAAGACTAGATAAAACAACACTAGTAGCCTGTACAGTCTTCTCCGTCTGTTCTTGTTTTGTTGTAGATGTTGCTGTTTTGGCAAAGTGTCCGTTGAGGAAGCACAATGAAGAATCTTTGCAAAATTGACAAAATACTTTAGTGACAACTAGCTCTTCACCGGATTGAATGTCTTCTCTCATTTTAACGCTCATTCCCGTTGTTATAGTTTGTGTTACCAAAAATTACATATAATTTAAATTTATCAAGTAACTGTATACTTTATTAAACAGAGACAAACAATTGTTAGCTACAAAAGGTTGACAGGCATAAAAAGAATCTGTCAAACATTCACAGTGATCACACTTTTCTTTAATATAAAACGCCTCTGGGTGATATGAATATTTTAAGTGTAATTTCCAACAGTTGATGAGCATAAAAGTGTTAAAACCCTCCTAATTTTCAAACTGTTTTCAACACTTGAAAGGCCAATTTATAAAACAGTCCTGTCGAAAACGAGGTCATAGCAAAACTTATCGGCTAATGCATTGGCACTGTGGTTGGTCGGTTAGTGGTTCACTCGACCTACTTTGGTAGCCAAATAATTTATCGAACTACTTACACTCAAAACTGTTAGTTAACCCATTTAAGTCAGTGAATAGGACACTTTGCTTTAACAGTTTTAACCCGTAACCGTTGTACATAAGATATTTCTATTTATGTAAATACCCTTTAGACTGTGTAAACCCACCTATCTGCGACCAATTATATACGCTAGACGTATTCAAGCGGGTAAATAAATTCTGACGGCGCAATTTTAATTTTAATCGAAATAAAATAGTCCATTATATTAATTTGTGCCTTATCGTAATCTTTGGAAGTGACATTCTTTTGTAAGTGATATAGGAAAATAAATTCAGAATTTCGTAGACTGTAGTAAACACTAATATATATAATGTTAAAGCACAAAATATCTAAGGATGGAGTTAACCGTCAATATTTAATTTTGAAACAATTTGAAGTAATGATGAATTTGGAAATTTGTTTAGTTTTAATAATTTATTCACCCAACTTTTCTGAGATTTTCATTCAATTCATTCCGGTTCTGCTCTACTATACACTCAGAGCACTAGAGATCGAGATACGCCACGATTGGAGATAAACCTGTTTTTGTTCTGGGGTTTGATTAGTAAACCGGAAATGAAATTCGTTGAACCGGAAGTGAATTTTGGTTCCGGTGGGCAAAGAGAACGGAGAGCGAATCAATATAGGGTCACGAGTTGAGTTCGTGCGAAACGTCTGCTTACGTCATAAAATTGCATAACTAAAAATTACCACGGTGACCTTTAGATTTTGATTCGAGTCTTTTGTTACCATATTTGAGTGGCGGATTTTGCAATCTTATATTGTTTATACATCTTTCTACAGAATTACCTACATTAAAATTATTTAATACGCGTAAACAATTTTTAATAAAAAAGAAACTATGTTGTTTTAAAATCAAACCTCTAATGAATTCTCTGTTAAAGTTCTCTGTTATTAAGTTCAAAAAACTATTAAAAAAACCTCAATGCATCATCATCAATTCAAATTGTTTCTATTAATACTCAGTAGGCCTAACTAACCAGCCATTTCGCAGTTCAGATTTCACACCACTATTCGTATTAGAAAAAATGCCAGAACAATAAATAGATAAGATTTCCCAGTAATATTCCACAATAGAATCTTTCAGCATAAGCTAGTCACAGTAAACTCTACTCGTATATTTTCTTATACGCTCATAATTTTAATCAACGTAGGAAATTGTTTAAACTGCATTTCATGAAATGGGTTGTGTTAGTTTGATATATGTGTCAAATGTATTAAAACTCTGTTTTTTTCCTACACTTGACATTTTTTCAACTAATGTTATTTTAAACTTGCTAAATCAGTTAACCCTTCACATGAATGTATAATCTGCTATATTTTGAACCTCTTTCCCTGCGGTTATATTTTGTGCAAAAATCAAAATTAGTCGTATCTATTTTTATATAAAACGGCATATTTTAATCGTTTATGCTTGACTGAAAATGTTTGTTGTTTTCCGAGTTTGTTTCTATATTGAATGTTTTCCGTGTCGGTGTTATGCTTTGTTTGTTATACTAGTCATGAGAATTGTTATTGTATATTTTGTTGTACATATGATTTACCATTAGTTTTGCTCAGTACCGCTTAACCTCGAGTCCGTGACGGGCGGTTTATGTTTAGATGTAGATTTTGTAATTAATATGCTTAAAATTATCATGTTTATAAAATAAAGTATATATTTAATCGTAATTAGTGTTTTGGTTTCCAAGTCCCGACTATAATTTAGAAAATGTGACATTTGCTGTTGGAAGCATTGGTAAGTCATGGAAATGCATTGGAAAAGTTATCTGGCATTGCAAGTAAAGTTAGTATAGATATGAGAGAATGGGGTTCCTGTCCTAAAGGTTCTGGTCCAAATCCCGTTATTCGCTAATGGCTCTTGACTATTAAATTGCTATTTGACATACTGGTCAAAGATTTGGGTCCATCTATCAATAAGGATCCCTCAGGCGAATACATTTTCTTGCATTTTGGTTTATTCAACACAATGAAATACAATTTACTACGTTAGGGTTGATCATAACGTATTGTACACAATAGTGGAAAACTAAACAAATCCTACAGAACACTCCACAAACCATTCAAATGGTACCAATCTCATAACGCATAAAGTATAGCAAGCAAGTTGTTTCCTATAAACGTCTAGTGGGTAAATAAACTCAGTTTTTATCAACTATATCTACATTTAAATCGACCACTTAGAATCATGGGTACTTGTTAATATTAAACAGATCATGCCTCTCTTTTTCAAATGTTTGCTGGGACACTATTACGTTAAAAATTAAATAAAAAACTAAAATTATTTTACTAATTTTAGCCAAATAGTTGAATGGTATAAAATGATATGATGTCAATGATATAAGTGTTCGCTTGGTAATCAAAAGGTCACTAGTTCGATCCTGAGAAAAGTCTATCTTTGTGATACGTTAAAGCTGCTCGTAATCATTGACATTTTAGTTAAATTATCCTAACTAAAGAAACAACTGGTCAAGTAAATAGAAACTACACAAGGAATTTCACTTTTATATATAATTTCTAAAAAAAAAAATGACTTTAAAATATGCCAAATTGATATGTTGTCTTCAAGATTTTGAAATTTACAGAAACTGATAATAGAAAAGTTTAAAAAATTAAAACTACATTAGCCTCAAAGAAAACATTAGAAAAATGTTTAATTCAAGCAGTTCAACCAACGTCAAAAGTATGTTAATTTCTGTCCTCTGATCAAAAGTGAAGTATTCAACTCAGCCGAGTTGGTTAGAAGAGCTGATGTAAAGCTTTGTTTTGTAAATTTCAAGTTTGTTAGGAAAGTTCGTTACAGTTAGTGAATAATCTTGGATGCTTGAATTCATAAGTTTTATTTTATTGTAATATTTATAATGAAATACTCTTTTTATGTTGGTTTTAACAATTTATTTTTCAAGAAACTGCTAGTCTGATTTGTAGATTAGATTTATTAAACATATTTTGGCAAAGAAATCTTAAAATAAAATAACTATATGTAGAACTCAAAGTTTTCAAAACACCTTCTTTATAACGGAGAAATAAACCAATTTGTGTACATTCAAAAGGATAGACAAATGTGTAACGCATTATAGAACGACCTTAAACGATGAACACTAATTTTACTGTATTACTCTAATAATATAGTAATAGATTTACTGAATTTTGATAATGATGTTGCTTAAGAAAATGTCGAAACAAGGTTGGTTTAAATAAACAATGTTTGTTATAAAACGTTGGATTCTGTTCATAAAAATGCTTTAATTAATTTGATGAAATTCATATGTTTTGTATACTAAAAGTGTCTTTTTAAAAGTAAATCGAAATCTGCATGGCCCTTTACAAATAAAGTCAAAAATACATTAGCATTAAGAGGAAAATGTACTAAATGCTTCAATAAAGACGAAAAGACGTGCAGGTTGTTTAACCTCAACAAAAGAGGGCTGCTTGTAAGATAAATTGTTGATAACAGTTTTAAAAGTTTCTTTCCACCTCTATCTCACGTCTTCAGGTCAACGTTCTTTTCTTTTGATAAGTGGCGTTATCACCGACTTGTGAGGTCATTGATAAGACGTTTTCCTCACTACCTTTTCTTTCTTTCTCAAGGTTTTCTCTAAATGCTAAGGGGTTTAAGACTGCTAAGGGCTTTTTATCTCTGTGGGCTAAACTTTAAATATACATTTAAATTTACAAACTGATCGCAACAATGCTTTATCACTTTAAGTGTTAATATTCAAATAAAAATTAGGTAATTATTTCTCTTACAGGTGAAGCAAAATGCTAATTAATCACCTTCATTTTATATAAGACCTTACTTAAAATTTAGATTTCTATTTAGGTCTGGTAGTAAATAATTTTAAAGCATTCCTTTGCTTGGCGAGGTTTTCACCCCATTCCTTCACTTCAGTCAAGTGGGGGTTGGTTCGTTTCCCACAGTCCTCGAGGCGTTCCCTTAGTTGGGGCGAATCTTTATTACAAATTCCATGATATTAATTTTAAGATACAACAATAGCATACAATATGTTTGCAGACACCATTTGTGTTTATTAAATATTTTAAATGTATTCCACGATTGTGAACAATTTAGTTACATTAAATATTAGTTTTATTAATTCATAATATGATATTATTATGATAAAGAAATTATAATATAATTTCAGGCATTTCCTCACAGTCACTAATATTGATTTAAACCAATATAATATATTGGTTTGAATCAATATTCAAAATGCCTGAAATTATATTATAATAACTTTATCATAATAATATCATATTATGAATTTTAAAAAAATCCTGGAATGGTAAATATTAGGCCAATTAATGCCATACATAGCAATTACAAATTCCTTTTCTGGAATGACAACGCTTCATATCGCTTTGATAAAATAACAAACCCCATTATAATAGGTCTATTACATTTTTTTTTATTTTCTAGGATACAATAAAATTTGTAATTTGTATTACTTAATTCAATGCAATTAATATGTTTACAGGTAAGTCCAATATTATTATTTTAAATTCATAAAGTATATTTACCATTATTTTTAATATGCTTTAATGTAAGACAAAGTAAACGTATTAATTTGTCCGTCTTTTTTGTTACAGGGGGTTTTATTAATTTTCTGTTAGCCTATATGATTAACCTTTAAAAAATTATTAACGAAATAAAAATATTATTTATAAACTACTGTTTCCCTTGTAAAATTACGACTAAAGAGTGAAACTTGCAGTGTAAGATGGTTCTGTTGATATCAGCTAATTTAAATTTGACTAGAGTTGCAGATTCAAAAATCATAGTTTTGATGTCATCAAATAAAAAAAGCATTGTATTTACTATCCCAATACAAACCAAACCCCCATTTATTGGGATTTGCCTTAAACTAACTCCTATGTCGAATATAATATATGTTCATATTTTATAGAGTACTGCACTCTTGTTACCCTTATGTTACACATGTTTATAGCCTTGAATAACGAATGTTCTCTGTACTTTAGCCTCCTAGAGGTCGTGGACGTCTATTCAACTGATAACGCCAAGGTCATTGATAACAAGGCATTGTTGTTAACCGTTATTTGAGTGATAAACCTGTGTATGATTACAATAAGGGATACCAAGAACACCACTGAATAACCTTGATGTACATTTCTGAGATACGTTAACAAATATTGTGCAAATTGGCAACAGTGGAAAACTTTTCTTACTAAAACTAAGAATAAGCTGCGTTAAAATTGTTTTATCGATTTACAAAAGATGAGCAAGGACTTTGGAAACTTAAAGAAGGTTTATCATGTTATTATTAAATCTGAAACTTGTTTTGATGTGGTTTTATGTTTATTTGCATATGGTTAGGCTGATGTCGAGTATGTTTGCTCTTCATTTTTATCCTGAAATGGAGAGTTTTACTCTTTAGCTTTCGCTATACAATCAGAAGACAAACAATAAACAATACATATATGTTTTTATTTGTTAATTGTTCGTTTAGGAATTAGTTCCAAAATCACGTAATACAACCAACAAAGTATAAAACCAGTGGCAAAACAAAACATCGACACTTAGTTGCATGTTTAGGGATTTTAAACACAGAATCATTTTTCCAAGAAGATACCAAGTCATTATAGAACTCGTTTTCGCTGCAGAGCTTCTCTCTTCTTCACACCGATTGCACAAACTATAGAGTAAACCATTACAGTATTCTATAGTCTGTGCCGATTGCTTAACGTAACGTAGCCTTGAATGAACATCTTAAGAATCGATTGATGCTAATACATAAAATGTTTTTTTTTACAAACCAGCCAGGTATTGTTGCAAGGGGGTTGTATTCCGACCATTGTATCGTATCGTAGGTTTGGTTGTTAGCTTGTAAATTGTTGTTTTTAATACCACAATATTATATCAACCATTTCCTTTTTTTATTTTAGGTTATATAAGTGAAGTATCAAGGAAATAGGTAATTTTACCACTCATTTTCAAAATGTTGTATATGCAAAAGTAGTATTGCACAAGGATTAATTTTTTTTAAAGTTAAAACATTAGAGGTTTGAATTTGAGCAAACATTAGGATTTGCTAAATTAAAAGTAATGTAAATACCAAACTTAAAGTTTATAATTTTATTTATTTATTCATCCCAACTGATTATACCATTTTACAACGTCAATTACAGTGATCAAGGTGGCATTATGAGTTAAAGAAAACAAACTGAGAGGCCTAATTAAAATAAAAAGAACTACATAGTGAGAACATATATGTGGCAAGATAGTTAAACTATGGTAATACATAATGTAGATAAGATGACAAACGATAAAGAATATAAATTAGATAACATACAAATAATAATAGAGAGATTTTAATGGTGACTAGATGTAAGGTAAACCCATTGACTATACACCTCTGCATCAATGATAAAATACAGGGGGATGTACATTTATTTGGTGTTCACTGATCAGTTGTAAATCATTTGTTTATACCCTACCGATCGATTCCGTATGGTTCCGTATACTAATTAGTCGTGTTTTGCAGTTCAATTTGAAATTATTTTTTGCATTGTGTTTGTACATACGCACAGCACAACATAAGTAACAAAACTTACAGAAAATTTCAATTTTATCGGATTTTTTAGTAAGTTAATTGTAGATCCAATTACCTAAATATTTAATTCGTCGGTTTGTACATGGCAAATGAACGAAG